ATTCTTTCAAATAAATAACCAAATCTTTTTAAAAAAAAAAAGAATGTGAAGAAACTGGATCTCTCATACATTACTATTAGGGATATAAAATGGTATAGACATGCTATAAAAGTCTGGTAAGATGCTAAAAAAATTAAACATGCACTTACCATTGTGACTTATTAATTGCATTCCATAAATAAATGAAAATTTATATCCACACAAAATCTGAACATGAATGCTCATGGGAATTTTCTTCATAACAGGCAAAAACTAGATATAATCAAAATGTCCTTTAACAGGTGACTAGGTCAATGGGGAGCCATAGTACATGCATATTATGGAATACTATCAAGTAATGAAAAGGCGTGAGCTATTAATACATATACAATGCAAGTGGATCTCCTGGCCATGAGGCTGAATGAAAAAAGCCAATCTCAAAAGATCACATACCATATGATTCCATTTATAAAACATTTTCAAAATGACAACAGATTAATGGTGCCAGGGATTAGAGATGGGGCAGAAGGGGGACAGAAAGAGTGTCCAAGACTATAAAAGGATAACACAAGGGGTAGACAGTCTTTGTGGCAATGGAATAGTTCTGTATCTGCAGTGACAGGTACACTGATCTAAATGTGATAAAAATGACACAGAACTATACACATAATATTCTACCAATATCAATTTCCTGGTGCTGGTATTATACAGTAGTTATGTAAGATGTAACCACTGAAGGAAACTGGTGGAGGCTAAGGACCTCTGCTATTTTTGCAATTTCCTGTAATATCTATCTCAAAATAACAAGTTAAAATTATTTCTGCAAATCTAAGGATAAGCAAAAGGAAGACAGCTCTATAAATAACAAGGATCTACCTACCCTCCTTATTAATCTTGGAGTTGTTTCAAGGATCAAGCATAACAAAATAATAAAAGCCACTTTTAACTATGTACCAACTATGATTTAGGCACTAGGTATTTTTTTTTAAAGGTTTATTAATTTATTTGAAAGGCAGAGTTACAGAGAGAGGGAGAGACAGAGAAAGACAGAGAGAGACATCTACCATACACTGGTTCACTCCCTTAAATGGCCTCAATGGCCAGGACTGGGCCAGACTGAAACCAGATTAATCCAGGTCTCCCACACGGGTGTCAGGGGCCCAAGCATTGGGGCCATCTTCTGCTTCTTTCCCAGGCATGTTAGCAGGAAGCTGTATTAGAAGTGGACCAACCAGGAGTCAAACCGGTGCCCAAATGAGATGCTGGAGTTGCAGGCAGTAACTTAACCTGCTAAGTCACAAACGCCGATCCCACAGACATCAGCTTTTTAAGTGCTTTCCTTGCATTGTTACATTTTTTATCACCCAACAACCTTATAAGTGAAATACTACAACCCCAGACAGGAAAACTGAGGTTAGGAGTTAATTTGCTCATGGTCACAGAGTACATACGATATTAAACACAGATTCGGGAGCAGGCATTTAGTCTAGCAGTTAAGACACCTGCATTCTACATCAGAGTGCCTAAGTTTGATTCTTGGCTCTGGTTCCTGATTCCAGCTTCCGGCTTAATGCAGACTCTGGAAGGCAGCAACGATGGCTCAAGTGATTGTGTTTCTGTCACCCATGTGGGAGACTAAGGGAGTGAACCCATAGATGCCTCTCTTCCTCTCAAATTAAAAATATCAAATAAAAAATACCTAAAGGGAGAAAAAAAAATAAATTTGTGTTAACTCCAGAAGCATGCCTCCTGCATACCATGGTAACAAATAAAAGATATCAGAAAGGAAAATATATATATATATATATCCGATCAAACAAAAGTAAACTAGTTTCTCTGTAAGATTTTTAGAACTTTTCAAATCCCAGGGCATGTCACTTATCTAGAAGGCTACAGCACACAGTTTTCCTGAATGTAAATGACTAGGCAGCCCTTTTCCTCCAGAATATAGTTGGGGTATATAAACCAACAATTTCTTAGCCAAACTGTTTAAACGGCCTGATCTTAACCCATTTCTCATCTTCATTTACTGGCAAACTACAAATGTTTGCAGCTGTGCGGTCCAACAGGGTAGCTGTAAGTCATATGTGAGTAATTATAAATTAACTTGAATTAAAATCAAAATCACAAACCACATTTCAAGCCCATGTTTAGCCACCATAGTGGACAGCACAGTGGACACGTCCATCATCTGTGGAAGTTCTACCCATCAGCACTGGGTTAGACGTTTTTTAAAAGAGCATGGGGCCCCATGTACTCTTTGAGAAGCACACTCTGAAATAGTACTCATGTCATTACCACTACCTCCCCCATAAAAGGGGGCTGGGGCAGCAATCCTTGATTTAAAGTCAGCTGCTATCACTGTGATGTCAACATACGGGAAAAAGGGAAGCAAAAGAATGGGAAAGCTGAACAGCAAGAGCAAAATCACACAGCTTGGGGGCGAAGCTAGAGAGAGAATTCAAGAGTCTGGGTTCTACTCCCCATTATGCCAATGACTCGTGTTCTTAAAATTTCAAAAATTTTGTAGTTGGTACCCATGATCAACCGTGGCTGAGCAGACCAGTCTCTTCACTATTTGAGGCCTCGATTCCTCTTCCATAATACAAATAGAAACCAAATGATCACTATGGTTCCCTCTAGCTCTGTATGGTTAAATGGAGACACACAAAAGAAATGAGAAGGTGGGGAGAGAAAGAGCAAGATCATTGCATATTGGTGTGGAAACTGGCATGCGCGTCTGCTTGGCACAACAAATTCTATTCCTGAGAAGACCTATAATCCACTGAAGGAAGACTTAACTTCTATTTTAATAAATACTTACCAAGCAATTATTTGCAACCCACTGCGCTATTTGGAAGCAGAATTACAAAATACTGGTTAGTCCTAAGTTAAAACCAAATATGTGAAAAGAAGGCAAGATTCCCAAAACTTTAGATTGCCAGATTCATTAAAATGTAATAGCCTAAGTATTCCAGCACTAAGAAACACAGAAGCATCTGAAAATGTTCTTGTAAAGACACAACAAGCAGTTATATAAAAATCATACACAAAGTACAAACAAGTAGCATAATCAAAAGCATATCCCATTACGTCCACAAAGAACATGTATAAATGCTACAGGTACTTGAGAACCGAAGGCACCAATTTTGGCCAACCTAATTTCTCCAGACCCACGCTTGATTAGATAATGCAACTTTTCTTATATAGGTTGAAAATCCTTAAAGATCATTGGAGTTACAAGGATTCTGCCTTACTCACAGATGAAAATGCAACTGGAATTCCTGCCTCTACTATCTATTGTACACAACCCTCCCTGTTCAGGGGCACTGTGTGGCCCTATTTCCTAGTATCAAAAGGAAGAGAAAATCGTCCCCATCCCTACTCTCAGGATTAAAGTCGCCGACAGAAAAACAAAAACTTTTTTTTTTTAACCTCTGGATACCAGCGTTTGGTAGTTTACCCTGCAGAAGCTAAGTCAACCAATGAGTCGCGTAACCACTGTAAGAATTCAAACTCACTGAAGCCCTGCACCAGCCCCGTGAATATTTTCGAGCGCTGGGGTGGGTTGGGGGGTTGAGTAGGGGGGGAGGGAGGGTAAACACCAAAGCTTCCTCGCAGGGGAAACAGGAAGAAGCGAGTGTGGCGACGACTTCAGGCAGGCAGTTTTGGTACCCCACCTACTAATCCGACGCCAGGGACCGCGCGGCGCGGAAACCCTGCCGAATTTGAAAACAATCGTCGCGAGGCTCCGGGGCACTGGGACGGGGCTCGGCTACTGACAGCTCGGCCTCGGAGCGCGAAGCCGCAAGTAGGTCAAACTGTGTCCACGGCCTGAAACCCAGAGTCCACCCCGGTGGGCTCGGGGGAGTGTGGAGCAGGAGGGGAGCGGGGCGGGGGGGGGGGTGGCGGCACACAGCGAACCGAAGGAGACCGGGAGGGAGCCCCAGCCCGGGCAGTTCGTCTGCGCTCACCTCTTTTGGGGGCCTTGATCAGAGGCAGCCCTCCAGTCCTCTCGCCGTTCTCCTGCTTGTCCTTGTGCTTGAGCTCGCCCGGAACGCAGGGGCCGGGGTCACCATCGGAGCCGCGGTGGTGATGGTGCTTGTGCCGCTCCTTGTGGCCCTTATGCTTGGGCCCGGCCGCGCTCACCGTCAGGGGCGAGAAGGTGAAGAGGGCCGAGGTGCCTGGGGCCGGGAGCGGGGCAGCGACAGCGGGCCCGGAGGGTGCCAGCGAGGGTGGCGGCGGCGGAGGCAAGAGCAGAGGCTCAACAGGACCCGGGACAGTTGGGGCTGCATTCGTTGGCGGCAGCGGCCCGGGATGTTGGCGGCTACGACGCCGCCGGTGAGGGGGAGCGAGAGGGGGGTCCTGGCTCGGCCGCCCCCGCTTCTCCTGAGATCCCCCACTGCTCGCTCGGCGCTGCCGCTTCACGCCCCGCGGCGAGACCCCAGCATGGGGCTTCTCCTTCCCCTCTTTGTCCGGTTCCTCCTGCGCCGCCACCGCCCGTACTACGCGCACCGCTCCGACCTGCGCAGCCATTTCACCCACAAACACACATTTAAATGGCCCGACCGCCCCCCCGTCCTCGCATCGCGCAAGCGCCGCCCGCGCAGGGCCCGCTGGGCATTGGAGTCTCTCCCCCGCCCTCCATTTGTCGGCGGCTCTCCGGCCGGAGCTGAACATGCCGGAAGCGGCAGTTCCCCGGCGCTTCTCCTCAGGCCTCGCCAACCGAGCTTCTATTGTAAAGCGCCCTGGGCCGCGCAAGGCCTCCTGGGAGCCAGCGTTCCGCCGCGCCCCGCGCCGCGTCCCCGGCTCTGAGTGGAGGAGCCGAGGAGCGCAAAGGGAGCGTGCGCCGAGTCACGCTTCGGGCCGCGACGCAACCGCCGCTGGGCGGCGAGTTGCCGCCAACCGCCTTAACGGCCCGAACAATGTTAATGGCTTTCAGAGTCTGGCGGCGGCGCGTTCCCGTTCTCGTCTGCCGGTGCGCCTCCGTGGTTTTACGCGGGGGAGGTGGTCTCCATAGTGATTGCTAAGTTTCGTAGTCCCCTCAAGACCTTTGTGAGGTAGAAGAATCTCCAGTCTTTGCCCCTTCGCAAGCGACGGAATGAAGAGGCAAAAAAAGAAAAGAGACTTAGTAATATGTAGAATGAGGGCGGCTTTGCTGTAGAAGGGAGTCGCAGTTCGGAGATTTGGGGGCGCACGTATCTGCCTTGCCTCTGGTCGCCGCCACAGGCGCAGCAAGGCAGGTGCAAGAAGTGGCCCGGAGCCTGCGAGCGCGGCCCCGCCTGGCCAGCCAGCCGCCTCCCGAGCCCTCTAAGGTCGGGACAGGGAGAGGCCAGCGTTTGTTTTGCCGTGGGAAACTGTGCTCTTAAATTTTTTTTTAATAAGTTTTTATTTTCCAAGTCCTAAGTTGCAAAATGTGAACGGTGGCTACCACAGAACATTCCAAAAACTCGTTACTGTTTACCAGAGGATAATGGTGCTTAAAGCTTTTAGAATTTTGCCACCTTAGCTTTTACCGAGGATTCTTATCAATATCAATACCGACATATTACAATAATGGGGTTGGATGCCCGTAGTTCTGAAGAATTAAGCTAAATGAACACTAGTGTAAGATGCTTAAAGATAAAGAAGTTTATTGAGCACCTTTTGGGTACATTGTATCATAACAGGTAACTATTTCATTCATTTTGCCCCATCATTAGGCTTCCTAATCCTAATATTTAAGAGAAAATGATATTTAAGTAATACATTTTTTAAAAGATTTATGTATGTTATCTATTTGGAAGTCGGAGAGAGAGATCACTTCCACCTGCTGGTCCACTCCCCAGATTGCTACAAAACACACACACACACACACACACACACACACGCGTGCGCGCACACACACGCGCACACACACACACAGGAGAAACAGCCAGGGCTGCCAGGAGCGGAGCCAGGAGTTTCTTCCGGGTCTCTCACGCAGGTGCAGGGACCCAAGCACTTGGGCCATCTTCTGCTGAACTCGATGGGAAGTGGAGCTGCTGGGACATGAACCAGTATCCCAGGTGCGGCTTTACCAACTATGCCACAACTCTGGCCTTATGTAATACATTTTTCTAAAAATTATAAACCTTTCGTATTAATAAAAAGATGTGAAATCATTAGTGGAATTCAAGTGACTCCTTTGTAACAATTATCCACTAATGTTACATGAAATTAATTTGAAATGGCAAATTTTGTTAAGGCAGACCTATATTCATACAGAAATATATTTTAAACTAGCAATACCTCTGAAAGATTGGGTGGAAAATGCACATGTTTGTACAGGACCTTTTAAATGAAAGTGCTACCAAAAAATAGCTATTTTATTGATTCTTTTTCTAGAATTAATAATTTAGTAAGTATGGTTAAAATTTATCACAATGTAGTTGAATATTCTATTAAGAATGATTACTGTCATTATGTTCACAGATTAGTCTCTTAAATATAACTTCTGCTTTTCTTTTTAGTTTCCCACAATATTAGTGGGAAGATATGTAAGCCTCCACTTAGGTAAAAATAATTCCCAGGGAATAGTCATTGTTAAGCAGAAATTTTGTACTACAATGACAAAAGATGTTTTCTAACTTTTTTTAAAGTTTATTATTTATTTATTTATTTGAAAGGCAGGGAGAGAAAGAGAGATCTTCCATTCACTGACTCACTCCCCAGAATGACGGCAACAGCCAGGTCTGGGAAGGCTGAAACCAGGAGCCAGGAATTCCATCCTGGTCTCCCACGTGGCTAGCAGGGGCCAACTACCTGGACCATTATCCACTACTTTCCCAGGCACGGTAGCAGGAAGTTGGATCAGAAGAACAGCAGCTGGGACCTGAACCCCAGTTCTGATTTGGGATGCCAACGTTGCAAGCAGCTGCTTCACCTGCTGTGCCACAACATCAGCCCCTGTTTTGAACTGCTAAATTCTGGCAGTGTAGAAATTTGTGATCCAATTCTTAACAATGCTTTTAAAGTTTACAGTTATATAGAAAAGTAATCAAATGACTTCCAAAAATGAAAAATATATCCATTCTAACTCACATTGTGTGTCATACAGCACTCTTTTTGTTTTAGGACTTACTTATTTGTTTGAAAGGCAGAGCAATAGAGAGGGAGAGACAGAGAGATCTTCCATCCTGCTTCTTACAGCAGATCTGGACGATGCTGAAACCAGGAGCCAGGAACTCCAACTGATCTCCACGTGGTGGCAGAGGTCCAAGCACTAGAGCCATCTTCAATTTCCTTCCCAGGCACATTAGCAGGAAGCTAGATTGGAAGCGGAGTAGCCTGGACTCAAACTGGCACTCTGCTAGCGAATGCCAGCATGGCAAACAGTGACTTAACCTGCCACACCACAATACCAGCCCCTGATATGGCATTCTTCACATAAGCCCAAGTGACAGCTTATCTACAGATTCCAACCCAATGTGATATGAAAATGCAAAACTGCTGGCACTTATTTGCATATTGCTTTCTTTTTGAAAGCATTAGTACATCATTATTGTTATGAATAAAGAGTACTTATTTTATCTGGCTGTATTCTAGTGATTTTATTTGCAGATGCATTTGCAATCTAATTCTTTTAATCCACAGTTGTATTAAATCTTCCAAGTTGGTGGTGGGTTCCTTGGTCCTTTGGGTTTTGAAAAACGTTTTGCAAAACCTGAGAACAAAAATAGAAAAGAGAAGATTCCTTTATATAGAAATGAATACTTGGATTTTAGAGTATTGTAATATATGCAAATACATGGACTATTTTCAAAAGGTTAGGCATAATCTTTGATCAATTTAATAATAGATTTTAAAGGCATTTATAATAATTAAAGCTAAGTGATAACAATAGAATAGTAATAACATTTTGAATTTTTAAAGCACTTACAAATTTAATAATGGTAATAATTGGATGAAGAACTCTGGTTAACTTTGACAATTTGGCATACAATATCATTTTATCTACAGTTTTTAAAATTTACTTGTATTTATTTGAAAGGGAGAGAGAGAGAGAGAGAGAGATCCTCCATCCCCTGATTCCATGCCCATCCATGCCCTTTTCTTTTTCTTTTATAGTGAAATATTTTCAAGGTATCTTACACTTAACAATTTTAGGGGCTTAAATTGATAAATAAAATGTTTGAAACAGAGAATGAAAGATGCAAAGATTTTCCTAAACCTTTTAATTTGTCATCTTAGGAAACGTATTATTGATCTATAGCACTAATAGAAGGGTCAGTTGAGACATCTGTTTAAAAGTATCCAGAACATTGCCTGGAATGAAGCAGATTCTCAAATGTTGCTCAGATCTAAACCCACAGAAGACTACACCAGAACTAGAAGAGAAGAAGAATAGGGAAGGAGAAGAGAAGATTGAAATTATTTTTTGGCCGGCACTGCGGCTCACTAGGCTAATCCTCTGCCTGTGGTGCCGGCACCTCGGTCTAGTCCGATGGGTGCGATCCTTTTTTTTTATTTTTTTTTTTTTGCAAGAGTGGACAGTGGACAGTGAGAGAGAGAGACAGAGAGAGAAAGGTCTTCCTTTTGCCGTTGGTTCACCCTCCAATGGCCGCCGCTGCAGCCGGTGCACCGCGCTGATCCGATGGCAGGAGCCAGGATCCAGGTGCTTTTTCCTGGTCTCCCATGGGGTGCAGGGCCCAAGCACCTGGGCCATCCTCCACTGCACTCCCTGGCCATAGCAGAGAGCTGGCCTGGAAGAGGGGCAACCGGGACAGAATCCGGTGCCCCGACCGGGACTAGAACCCGGTGTGCCGGCGCCACAAGGTGGAGGATTAGCCTATTGAGCCACGGCGCCGGCCTGGGGTGCCGGATTCTGTCCCAGTTGCTCCTCTCTGTCTCGCTCTCACTGTCTAACTCTGCCTGTCAAAAAAATATTTTTTAACTTAAAAACATTTTAAGCCACTAAAATTTTGTTAATGGTAGTAAAAAAAAAATAGGAAATTAGGAGAAGGGCACATAGCATGTTCATGTACATTTACTCCTCTGAGTGATGACAGAAAAATATTTCAAGTCATAATTTCACATAGAGTCAAAATTATCCCATCAATGTAGATTGCTCAATTATAACCCAAGTGGACTCAAAATAGGAAAGACATATTACATAATTCCTGAATACCTAACGGTTGAGGAATTCTTGTATTGTGTCTCTTTGGTCAGTTCTCAATTATTTAGAACAGTAGTGATCTACTTTTTCTGTGCATGTGGGACAATTCAGGAAAAATAAACCTGAACCACAAATGTCTCATTCTAATTCAAATACTCTTTTGAATAACATTATTTTAACAATTAATATTGACTTCTTTATAAAAATAAATCAATTTTTAAAACAAGTGCTGTGTTTTAGTGGTACAGTGTTCGAATCCAGGCAGATTTGAGAAGAAACAACATGAAGCCAGCTGTCTAATATTTATCCTGATATTAGATCACAGCCTATTGCAAAGGTGGGTGGGCCATGAGTTGCTCAAGTGGTATTACTAATTTGAGAAAAGAAGGAAGCAGAGACATTTGTGTTCCGGGAAAAGTTGAGTGGGTTTTTTTTATTGTTTATGCAATATTTTATATGAATATATATGAATGTTTTATAAAATCAGTACTTCTTTTATAAATTATGGCATTTCAAATCTTAGAGTTAATGAAATCCAAACAAAATTGTAGGACTAAAAAAATTGATCGAAAGATTCTAGCTGGGGCCAGCGCTGTAGCACAGTGGGTTAACACCCTGGCCTAAAGTGCTGGCATCCCATAAGGGCACTGGTTCAAGACCCAGCTACTCCACTTCCAATCCAGCTCTCTGCTATGGCCTGGGAAAGCAGTAGAACATGGCCCAACTCCTTGGGACCCTGCACCCTCATGGGAAACCTGGAAGAAGCCCCTGGCTCCTGGCTTCAGCTCGGTGCAGCTCCGGCCGTCGCGGCCAATTGGAGAGTGAACCAGCAGATAGAAGACCTCTCTCTCTCTCTCTCTCTCTCTCTCTCTCTCTCTCTCTGCCTCTCCTCTCTCTATGTAACTCTGACTTTCAAATAAATAAATAAATCTTAAAAAAACAAAAGAGATTCTAGTTAAAATATTGTGGCAAGGTGAGACAGAGACCATAAACAGGGTGTGGCAAAGATTACTACCTCTCCATCAAAATGTTTCTAGAATCATCTAGCCAATTGTACCTATCTGTCCACCAATGTCCCATGTACCAGACTCTCTTACACTGAGCTATAGTCCATATTTACATTCTCTTCAGGTAAATGGGAGCTAAGGTTGTGTTGCCACTTCTGCTCAGTCCCTTGAGACCAGGAGAGAAGGAAGGGGAAGCCACATGCCCTGGTTTGCACTCTTGCAGCCTGTAACCTGGATGTGACAGCGGCCTAATTTTGACCATACAGATGAGGATGATACCACTGAGTAGCAGTTCTCAAAGATGGCCCCACCCTTTTGGGGGAGGGTATCTGCCTTTTGGTTCACAGTAATTGTTTATAGTAATCCCTAGATTAACTGCCATACTTCTCAGATTGGCATTTTGGCACAGTGGGTTAAGCCACACTTGAGAAGCTAGCATCTGTATTAGAGCCAGTTTGAGTTCCGGCTGCTCTGCTCCCAATCCAGCATCCTGTTAATGCTCCTGGGAGGGCAGCCATTTTTATGGCCCAAGTACATGGGACCCTGTCACTCATGTGAGAGACCAGGATGTTGTTCCTGGTTCCTGGGCTTGGCCTGGCCCAACCTGGATATTGCAGCCATTTGGGGAAGGAACCAGCAGATGGAAGATCGATCTCTCTCTCTCTCCTTCTCTGTTGCTCTGCCTTTCAAATAAATAAATCATACATGTGATTATATATTTATACATATAAATATATGATTGCTATACTTCTTACAAAAATTATAGCATACACAATACTACTTTAAATAGTATCATAAAAATACATCACATAGAATAATAGAATGCTTAAAATAATATAAAATTATCAAGTTTATAGCTAATACTTAGGGACAATTGGGTAAGCAATTAAACTATCAAAATTGTTTTTCACCTCCAATTATTGAATGCATTATATAAAATTTTTTAACAGTAACTGCTATCCTTTCCATCATACTTGTGTGTGTGTGTATATATATATATATATTTTAAGATTTATTTATCTGAAAGTCAGAGTTACACAGAGAGAGAAGGAGAGGCAGAGGGAGAGAGAAAGGTCTTCCATCCGATGGTTCACTCCCCAGTTGGTCCCAGCAGCTGGAGCTGCGCCAATCTGAAGCCAGGAGCTTCTTTGGGTCTCCCACGAGGGTGCAGGGCCCCAAGGACTTGGGCCATCTTCTACTGCTTTCCCAGGCCACAGCAGAGAGCTGGATCAGAAGTGGAGTAGCCGGGAATTGAACTGGCACCCAGAGGAATGCAGGCACTGCAGTGGCAGCTTTACCCACTACACCACAGCGCCAGCCCCTATATATTTTTTTAAAATATTTATTTTATTATTTATTGGAAAGAATGACAGAGAGAGGTCTTCCATCCACTGGTTCACTCCCCAGTTGGCCACAACATCCGAAGCTAGGCCGATCCAAAGCCAGGAGCCAAGAGCTTCTTCCAGTTCTCCTCTGTGGGTACAGGGGCCCAAGGACATGGGCTAACCTCCACTGCCCTCCCAAGTGCAGTAGCAGGGAGTTGGATCAGAAGTGGAGCAGCAGGGACTCAAACCGGCACCCATATGGGATGCTGGTGCTGCAGGCTGGGGCTTTAACCTGCTGAGCCACAGCACCGGCCCCCCTTTCTGTCACTCTTGTATATTCTGTAGAACTTTGCTTTAGATGTGCACTAGAATACCATAGCATGTCAATTCTTCATTTAACTACTCATCAATTTACTACATGCCAACATAATAATTTGGTTACCATAATAATTTGCTTACATAAACTTCAGTCTTATGTGAGTATTTAAAAAAAATTTTATTATTATTCAAAAGGCAGAGTGACAGAGAGAGAGAGAAAGAGACAGAAACAGGTCTTCTATCCACCAGTTCTCTCCCCAAAAGGCCACAACAGTTAGGAACTCCATCCAGATCTGCCATGTGGGTGGCCATCATCTGCTGCTCTCTCAGGTGCATCAGCAGGAAGCTGGATCACAACTGAAGCAACTGGGACTTGAACCAGCATTCTGATATGGGAATGCCATCATTGCAAATGGCAGCTTAACCTATGGTACCACAAAGCCCCTTATAAGCAGGGCCAGTGTTGCGGCACAGCAGGTAAAGCCACTGCATCCCAGCATCCCATATGGGCACCAGTTGAAGTCCCAGCTGCTCCATTTCCAATCCAGAGCCCTGCTGATGGGCCTAGGAAAGCAATGAAAGATGGCCTAGGTCCTTGGACCCCTGCAGCCATGTGGGAGACTAGAAGGAAGCTCCTGGCTCCTGACTTCTGCCTGGCACAGCCCTGGCTGTTGCAGCCATTTGGGGAGTGAATTAGCAAATGGAAGATCTCTCTCTCTCTCTCTCTCTCACTCTCTCTTACTCTCTGTCTCTTCCCCACTCTCTCTGTAACTCTGCCTTTCCAATAAATATATCTTTTAAAAAAAAAAAAAAAAGGCCCTTGTGTGAGATGTTAAAAGGTAGCTGGGGCCGGCACCACAGCTCACTAGGCTAATCCTCTGCCTGTGGTGCCGGCAACCCGGGTTCTAGTCCCGGTTGGGGTGCCGGATTCTATCCCGGTTGCCCCTCTTCCAGGCCAGCTCTCTGCTGTGGCCAGGGAGTGCAGTGGAGGATGGCCCAAGTGCTTGGGCCCTGCACCCCATGGGAGACCAGGAGAAGCACCTGGCGCCTGGTTTTGGATCAGCGCAGCGTGCCGGCCGCAACACGCCGGCCATAGCAGCCACTTGGGGGGTGAACCAACTGAAAAAAGGAAGACCTTTCTCTCTGTCTCTCTCTCTCTCTCACTGTCTAACTCTGCCTGTCAAAAAAGAAAAAAAAAAAAGGTAGCTGAGTTTAAAAATAAAATGATAAGCCAGGATAGGCATTGGCACAGCAGTTAAGATGTCACCTGAGATGCCTGAGTCCATCTCTGCTTCTGATTCCAGCATTCTTGCTAATGTGAATCCTGGGAGGCAGCAGGTGCATCCCTGCTACCCACATGGAAGACCCAAGTTGACTTCCAGGCTCCAGGCTTCAGTCTGACCCAGCCTCTGCTGTTGCTGCAGGTATTTGGGAAGTGAACCAGTGAACACTCCTCCCCCCCCCCCTCTCCGCTTCTCAAATAAATAAATAAATATCTCAAAGTAAAAATAAAAAGATAAACTGAATGGAAAAGACTATAAAGGATCTGTGCATGCCACCTTAAATCATAAAGTTGTGTAACTTATATAGTAAATGAATAATTAGGGCCGGCGCCGCGGCTCACTAGGCTAATCCTCCGCCTAGCGGCGCCGGCACACCGGGTTCTAGTCCTGGTCGGGGCGCCGGATTCTGTCCCGGTTGCCCCTCTTCCAGGCCAGCCCTCTGCTGTGGCCAGGGAGTGCAGTGGAGGATGGCCCAGGTGCTTGGGCCCTGCACCCCATGGGAGACCAGGAAAAGCACCTGGCTCCTGGCTCCTGCCATCGGATCAGCGCGGTGCGCCGGCCGCAGCGCGCCAGCCGCGGCGGCCATTGGAGGGTGAACCAACGGCAAAGGAAGACCTTTCTCTCTGTCTCTCTCTCTCACTGTCCACTCTGCCTGTCAAAAAAAAAAAAAAACAAAAAAAAAAAAAAATGAATAATTAACAAATTTTTAACTCTGCTGTAAAATAACACACATACCAAAATTCAGAAAGGAACTGGAGTTATTTGACTGAACGGTTTCTGTTGGCTTGCTTGGTGGGGAAGAATTACAGATGCCTGGAATAAAAAGAAAAAACACAAAAGAATATGATGACCATCTCAGACTGCTACTTATCAAATTGCATACTTATTAATATTAAGCATTTCCTCCAGAGTAATTAATACTCCCCCCAAAAATATCAATATCAAATGTTAATAAGACATTGATACTTACAAAGGGGACACTGTAATCTCATTGTTAAGGTTTATTTTCTTTGCAAATAGATTGTATAATAAAGCCCACCACTAAAGAATGTTGCCAAAAGAGTAAGATCCACTATATCATGAATCAATTTTTTTTGAGATTCACATTTTGGCTTTAGATTTCACCTTATTTGGTACTCTGGCTCCTTTTAGTACACTTTTTTTTTTTTTTTAATTTGAGAGGCAGAGAAGGATAGCAAGTGAGAGAAAGAGAGAGAGACAGAGGGTACTCCCATCTGCTGACTCATTCCTCAAATGCCCACAATTATCAGGGCTGGGCCAGGCCAAAGCCAGGTGCAAGGAAATCAAACAAGTTGTCTTACATAAGTGGCAGAGACCAAGGACTTGCTGCCTTCCAGGGTGCAGGAAGTTGGACTTGGAAGCAGAGCCAGGACTCAAACCCAGGCCTCCAGTATCCATATCTCCCTCTTGATCTGCCTCTAATAAATAATTTTAAAATATTTGTCTTCCCAACACCTTAATATATTCATGTGTTATTTTCTGCCTAGTTCTGAAAACAATGAAACTTGGTCCACATTTTACATGTGCACTATCTTGAAGTAAAAAAAAAAAAAAAAAAAAAAAAAAGGTGGCGCCGTGGCTTAATAGGCTAATCCTCCACCTGTGGAGCCGCCGGCACAGAGGGTTCTAGTCCCGGGCGGGATGCCAGATTCTGTCCCGGTTGCTCCTCCTCTAGTCCAGCTCTCTGCTGTGGCCTGGGAGTGCAGTGGAGGATGGCCCAAGTGCTTGGGCCCTGCACCCGCATGGGAGACCAGGAGGAAGCACCTGGCTCCTGGCTTCGGATCGGCGCAGCATGGGCCGCAGCGGCCATTTGGGGGGTGAACCAACGGAAGGAAGACCTTTTTCTCTGTCCCTCTCTCTCTCACTGTCTAACTGTCTGTCAAAAAAAAAAGTTTAAAAAATTTTTTTATAAAAAGGTAATTTCAGGTTTGTATATACTTTCATATAAATAAGGAGAAATTACTAGATATTCTTTTTTTTGTTTTTTTCCCCAACATCTTTATAATGTAGTGTAAGAACTGCATATATATGTTTGCACACACACCCCTAATGTAGAATTCTAGAAATACTTTCTCTTTCTGGAGATAATTCAGCATGAACCACATATAATAAAAAGCAAATTACAATAAAATCCAGTTAAGATACTCATACATATTGGGACAAGCATTTGACAGCAGTTAAGATGCCACTTGGGACTCCCATATCAGAGTACTGGTTCAAGTCCCAGCTCTGCTTCCATTCCTGCTAATGTGCACTGTAAGAGACAGATGATGGCTCAAGTACTTTGGCCCCTGCCTGTCATGTAGAAGACCCAGACTGAGTTCTGGGCTCCTGGCGTGGGCCTGGCCCAGCCCTGACCCTGACTATTGTGGACATTTGGGGAGTAAGTGGGCAAATGAAAGAATCTCTCTCTCTCCTCTGTCTCTTTCTCTCTCTCCGTTCCTCCCTCTCTCTCTCTCTCTCTCTTTCAAGTAAAATGAAAATAAATACATAATTTTAAAAAGCATATTTATTGAATAGCCACTATGTAGTAAGCGTTGGACTAAGCATCGAAGATAAAGACACAAATATAAAGGAAATGAAGGTGAGGAAGGTCAGGAGGTGTCAGTAATCTCTACACTGCGTACACACTGATAGTTGTGTACATCCTTCAGAAAACAGCCGTTTCAAAAGGGGAATGTTTTACAAGGGAGGCAGAGTCTGCCTGTATCCACATCAGAGGGAACGGCTCTTTTGCATATTGGCTTCATTTTCTCTTCTGGTAAGAGAACTTTAATTTTCCTTTCCACCTCTTCCCAATTTTTAGTGTCCATGCTTCCAATGGTGCTGATTCTACCTTATGATCCAGGAAATGTCCTGTACCAAGGGCATTGTTTCATCGTTGGTACCCTGGCATGGCCACACCAGAGTGTAGGTCTGACCTCATTTCTAATTGGTTCATAAGTAACAATTGTTAAGGATTCAGTGAGATACTTTCCTGTATGATCTTGGAACATCGACTATACTGGCAATCATTGATTCAGGGATGGGATGGGCAAGTGAAGTAAGCCAAGGCAATCAGACTCAATTAAAACCAGTCATCAGATTATTGCTTCAGTAACCAGAAAAGACTTTTTTCTTGATAAGCCTGAAACCATATGCTAAAAGCTTGCCTAGGGATGAGCTAAAACAGATTAAAAAAAAAACTGAACAGTACGGAATGAGATTAGGTCCTGATTACATCATTTGAACCCCTGGTTACAAGCAAATAAATGTCCCCTTTTCTGCTTAAGTCAGCTTAAGTTGGGCTTTTTGAAACTTGCAGCTGAAGGATTTCTAAGCAATTAGCTTCCCGCCCAGAGTTGGCATCAGACATCATGGTTGAGAGCTTCCACTCTTGTCACCCTATAATTCATTCTCCATACAGCAGCCAGAATGATCTTTTTAAAAAACAGATCGTGTAACATCTCTGCCTAAAACCCTTTTATGACTTCCCATTGCACTTAGAATAAACTCTACTTGGCCAGCGCCTCGGCTCAACAGGCTAATCCTCCGCCTTGCGGCGCTGGCACACCGGGTTCTAGTCCCGGTCGGGGCGCAGGATTCTGTCCCGGTTGCCCCTCTTCCAGGCCAGCTCTCTGCTGTGGCCCGGGGAGTGCAGTGGAGGATGGCCCAAGTCCTTGGGCCCTGCACCCCATGGGAGACCAGGAGAAGCACCTGGCTCCTGCCTTCGGATCAGCGCGGTGCACCGGCCGCAGCGCACCCGGCCGTGGCGGCCATTGGAGGGTGAACCAACGGAAAAGGAAGACCTTTCTCTCTGTCTCTCTCTCTCACTGTCCACCCTGCCTGTCAAAAAATAAATAAATAAATAAACTCTACTTAACATGACCCATACGAATCTACTCTTCCCTCAATTTTCCTGCCTCACCTTCCTAGAATGGCTTCCTTTTAGTTCCTTACACAACAGATCCTTACACCTTGGAGATGTTGTATGTGCTGTTTCCTCTACCTAGAGTGATCTCCCAACCCTTTGCCTGGCTGGCTGCTGCTTCATAGCTCAGACTCAAATGTCATTTCCTTAGAAAGGGCTTCAGGACCACCCGTTGTTACTCTCGCTCATAATTACCCCTTTGTTTTCCTTTATAGCATTGATCACAATGTATTATTATGTATGTTTCTGTGAACTTTCTGTCTTAAGGTCAGTCCCTAAGTAGACCTAAGTTCCACAAAGGCAGAATCCATGTCTGTTCTGCCTTTATACAAAAAGCCTTGCACAGTGCCTGGCATATAGTTGGCACTCAATAAGTCTTCATTGAATGAATGACACTGCACTTAAATGCTAGCTTGAACAAAGAAATTTTGTGGCGCTTGTGCTGTGATGTAGCTCCACATGCAGCACCAGCATCCCATATGGGCACCAGTTTGAGTCCCAGTTGCTCCATTTCCAATCCAGCCTTCTACTATGGCCTGGGAAAGCAGTAGAAGATGACCCAAGTCATCGGGCCCCTGTACCCATGTGGGAGACCTGGAAGAAGCTCCTGGCTCCTGGCTTTGGATCAGCCCAGCTCTGGCCATTGTGGCCACTAGGGGAGTAAACCAGTGGATGGAAGACCGCTCTCTCTGTTTCGCCATCTTTCTGTCTGTCACTGTGCCTCTCAAATACATAAATAAATCTTAAGGGGGGGGGGGCAGTGCTGTGGTATAGTGGGTAAATCTGCCACCTGCAGTGCAGGCGTCCCATATGGGCACTGGTTCAGGTCCCAGCTGCTCCACTTCCGATCCAGTTCTCTGCTATGGCCTGGGAAAGCAATGTAAGATGGTTCAAGTCTTTGGGCCCCTGCACCCACGTGGGAGACCCAGAGGAAGCTCTAGCCCAGCTCCCTCCATTGCAGCCGTCTGGGGAGTGAACCAGTGGATGGAAGACCTCTCCCTCTCTCTCTGCCTCTGCTTCTCTGTAACTCTGCCTTAAAATAAATAAATCAATCTTTTTTTTTTTTTTTTAAGAAAGTCTGATTTCATTAAAAGCTGGAACAACTTTACCTACGGACCAGTAAGAGATCTGGACTATATGGAGAACATATGGAATTCTGGAGTCGTGAACCATCTGGAAGGGGTCGAAGACACATATGCAAGTTCAGGCAGATAATATCAACTAATTGCTTGGTCCTTCTGTGATTAACCAAATGGATCACATTTGTAAAATGTATATCACCATGTTTTATACACTTTGAATTTGTAAATGAGGATTTCTAAGACAATTTAGCTCAGATTCAGGAGTCTATGGCTTTTATTTTTATGACAATATAGCAGAAAGAGTAAGCAACAGACTTCTATTGCTAATAATACTTGGTAAAAATGGAAATGTGTCAATGGTTTGCTTATTTCATTAAATCAGCACATTTGTTTCACAATATGTTTTGCTGCGACTATTTTCAAAGAAAATATACCAGAGGTTAGACTCTTGAGAATTGTAAATAACACATTCACTCATAAGGCATCATCTTAGGATGGGTGGAAAGTGCCAAACATTCAACTGACTGTCATTCTGTTTATAAGCGGAAAGGTTTCTATCCCCCTGCTCCCCACCTGGTCTTCGCACAGTGGAGCCCAGCTAAGCACAAGCCATAGGGGTGATCTGATCCACAGGACCCAAGGCAGGCTCTGTTTAGGAATGATATTAATTTTTTCATAGGATGGTTACACAAATAAAAATATAATCATGGGGCTAGTGCTGTGGCATAGCAGGAAAAGCCATCGCCTGCAGTGCCAGCATCCCACATGGGTGCCTGGTGGAGTCCAGGCTGCTCCACTTCCCATCCAGCTCTCTGCTGTGGCCTGGGAGAGCAGGAGAAGATGGCCCAAGTTCTTGGGCCCCTGAACCCGCATGGGAGACCCGGAAGAGGCTTCTGGCTCCTGGCTTCAGATCAGCCCAGCTCTGGCCGTTATGGCCATCTGGGGAGTAAACCAGCAGATAAAAGACCTCTCTCTCTCTCTCTCTCTCTCAGCCTCTGCCTCTCTGTAACTCTGCCTTTCAAATAAATAAATAAATCTTTAAAAAGAAAAATATAATCATGAAAGTAATCTATATTCTAAAAAATAAACACAAAGAAACTTACCTTTTTTCACGTTTCGCAAAATTTTCAAACTCTACAAAAGTAAAGGAAAAAGTCAGTTTTTTCTGTGTAATACAAAATATTTTAATCAAGTAGAAATATACTTAAGTTAAAAGCATTCATTTCCTTAAAAAAAGCCATGAAAATGCACAATTATGTTTCCATCTTGCCATTTTTAATTCAATGAAAACTGCCACTTGATTTTATCTATTTTTTTCTACCCATGTAAGCATCACACTGTATATTTAGAAATAACGCGATCCGAATGTCAGAGGGAAAAGGAAGTTCCTCCTTCATTTAGGATCATTCAGAACCCACAATGGCTTCCACACACAGCGCTGACCATAGCCATCCCCAGTGCAGCCAAGGATGTTTGTAGTCACACGCTGTGCTGTTCCCTGGAGCCAGCGCCTGTCTTCTGCCTCCTTTCAGCAAGTCCAGGTCCTCTGCCTCCAGGAACCGATGCACACCGACTTTACTCCACACAGCCTCAGTATGGGATTTTAATCTACTTCAGGGAAGCTTATTCTTGATAATTTCCATGTTTCTCACATAGGCATGCTATTCCAACAGGTTAACTACATACTCCTTTCAAGAGCAAGTAGCTGTACTTTATGACATTTCTGTTTCCCCAACACTCTTTAGAAACATATTCTTCCATATAAAAGACACTTACTAATTTCCTTTTGGAAACATTTTTAGATTTTTAGAAAATAGATAATTTATTTATAATTCAAAAACTCCTGATAAAAATGCTGCCATTCCTGTCTTCTCTCTACCCAGTTTCTAACGCTTCTCCTGTAAATAAGCACCGTCCATTTCTTAGGTATCTTCCTGGAGTTACTTATGAACACAGAAGCAAACATGCATATAGATCACATCTTCTCTTTTTAAAACAAAAGTTAATAAATATATTGAATCATTCTTTTTTTAGCTGCACGATATTCCATCGGACATACTGAATGATTCATGTAATTGGCTCCCCTGATGAGTCACATCTGTGTTGTTTTTAGTCTTCTGCTCGTATAAATGATGTTGCAGTGAATACCTCATACATATGTACAATTTCATGTGTGTGCAAGCATATTTGCTAGAAGTGAAATTATTGGGTCAAAAGTTATATGCATTTGTAAGTTTGATATTGTTAAATCGCTCTCTTCAGAAATTGGACCACTTGGCATTCCTACCAACAAAGTAGGATACTTATTTCCTGAAAACTTCTCAAACAGAGGGTATAATTAAGGTTTGGGAATTTGCTATTCTGACAGATGAAAAGCAATAAGTCACTGTGGTTTTAATTTTCTATTTCCCTTATTATGAACGAGGTGGAACATACCAAATATTTAAAGGGAAGACCATGCATATGTATCTTCTTTAAACTATCATGTATTTTTGTACATTTTAATTTTATGATTATTCTTTTCTATGAATTCCTGGAAGATCTTTATATATTAGTGAAAAAGACCACTCTGCCTATGGTACCAGCTGCAGATTACTTTTCTCAATTTGCTCCTTCTCATTTGATTTCTAAGGTGTTTTTTTAAAAAAATGCAGAAATTTGCTATTTTAGATAGTTGAATTTATATGTAGCTTTTACTATGGCTTCTGGGTTTTGACTCATAGTTACAAAGGTCATTTTCGGGCCGGCGCCGCAGCTCACTAGGCTAATCCTCCGCCTTGTGTCGCCAGCAGAGCGGGTTCTAGTCCTGGTTGGGGCGCCGGATTCTGTCCGGGTTGCCCCTCTTCCAGGCCAGCTCTCTGCTGTGGCCCGGGGGGTGCAGTGGAGGATGGCCCAAGTGCTTGGGCCCTGCACCCCATGGGAGACCAGGAGAAGCACCTGGCTCCTGCCATTGGATCAGCGCGGTGCGCCGGCCGCAGCGGCCATTGGAGGGTAAAGCAACGGCAAAAGGAAGACCTTTCTCTCTGTCTCTCTCTCTCACTGTCCACTCTGCCTGTCAAAAAAAAAAAAAAAAAAAAAAGGTCATTTTCACTCCCAGGTTATAGAGGAATCTTTCCAAGTTTGGGTTTTGTGTTTTTGTTTTTGCTTGTGCTTTTTTTTTTTTTTTTTTTTTTTAGTAATTCTTTAGGATGGTATTTTTCTTAAAACATCTGGATCTTTTAACCATCTAGAATTTATTTATCCTGGTATGGATGCAAGCTATAGATCCTACTCCCCCCACCAGGTGATTATTTGATCCAACAAAAGCATTATTAAACCATTCATCCCTACCTGTGATTTGAGATGCCACCTTCACAATATGCTAAATTCCTGCCAATATTTGGTTATATTTCTGGATTTTGCTTCTACTCTGTTGTTATGTATTTCTTGAAAATACACCAACATCAGGCCATTTTAATTATTGAGGCTTTACACTGTTTCAACATCTGAAAAAGCTCTCCTGTTTTCATTGCCTATTTATGTATTTGCAGTTTTCTGACTATTCTTGTCCTTTTTTCTCAAATGAACTTTACATCAGTGTATGTAGTTCTTGGGATAAACAAGTTGGTAGTTTCACTGGCATTAAAATTAAGCAGAAACAAAAAAAATTTTTTTTTTTTTTTGACAGGCAGAGTGGACAGTGAGAGAGAGAGACAGAGAGAAAGGTCTTCCTTTTCCATTGGTTCACCCTCCAATGGCTGCTGCGGCTGGTGCACTGCGCTGATCCAAAGCCGGGAGCCAGGTGCTTCTCCTGGTCTCCCATGCGGGTACAGGGCCCAAGCACTTGGGCCATCCTCCACTGCACTGCCAGGCCACAGCAGAGAGCTGGACTGGAAGAGGGGCAACCGGGACAGAATCCGGCGCCCCAACCGGGACTAGAACCCTGTGTGCCGGTGCCGCAGGCGGAGGATTAGCCTAGTGAGCCGCGGTGCTGGCCAGAAACAAATTCTTAATGTAGTTGTATTTCTTCTTCTTTTTAGTTTCCTTCTATTAATTTTGATTGTTGCATGATGAATACTCGGTTTAGTGAAGAGTCTATCTAATGTTCCATCTCTATGCAGAAGTGGGGAGCCTTTAGCAAGGGAAGGGTTCCGGCTTGTTTTCCAAAACTCCTATCTTCTTTACCTTGCTCCTTGTGAAACCTTTCCCAGGAGTCTTCAATGTCTGTTTCGAAGATGTTGAATTTTCTGTGGTTTCAGGACAGCCAGCAGAATAAGTTTCTATACGTTGGGGCTGCATACCTCAAATAAAAAAAAAAAAAAAGAAAGAAAGAAAGAAAAGAAAGTGTTTTGTTATATAGCTTCTTAGACCTTTGTGCTATATTCAATAATTTTTAGTTTGACTTTTTTAGACATTATTTTTACTATACATAATGAGATTTTAAAATGTATTCTTTTGTGATATTTAATCATTCTTTGTTTTCCATTTAGGTTTTTCCTTATTAGCTTTTTAGCATTCTAATTTTTCTAATTCTTTTAGGGGAAGGTCCTGCTACTTACAATCTTCATCAGCAAGGAGGAAGGACTCAAGGGTTCTCTCCGGGAGTGGAGGTGGTGGGGAAGCAGAGCGATCTCGATGCAGATCTGCGGTGAGAAACACATTCAACAAAGGGTCCCATCCATTAAAGATCTCAAATCGACAGCCTCTTTGACCTTGTATAATTTTTTCTAACTAATCAATCTTAACCTACAACCACCAAATAAAACATTATCCAAACAATGACCAGAACCTCAAGAACTTTGTCTTTATACCTTTTTAGCCAGTGTGCCTATAATTCATCAAAAAGTTATAACTCACTTGCAGATACATTCTTCCACAGAAAAGAAAACTGAATTTATTTTTTATTTATTTATTTTGACAGGCAGAGATTGACAGTGAGAGAGAGAGACAGAGTGAAAGGTCTTCCTTTTCCGTTGGTTCACCCCCCAAGTGGCCACTACAGCCAGCGCGTTGTGGCCGGCACACTGCGCTGATCCAAAGCCACGAGCCAGGTGCTTCCTCCTGGTCTCCCATGCGGGCGCAGGGCCCAAGCACCTGGGCCATCCTCCACTGCCTTCCCGGGCCACAGCAGAGAGCCGGACTGGAAGAGCAGCAACCAGGACAGAAGCCGGCGCCCCGACCAGGACTAGAACCCGGGGTGCTGGCGCCGCAGGCGGAGGATTAGCCTATCGAGCCACGGCGCCGGCGAAAACTGAATTTAATCAAGTTTCTACATCTAACTATTATTTCACAAGAAATCCTGGGGATAGAGGAACATGTTAAATAAAATCATGAGGATACAATTAGTCAAATCCAGAATGTTAAAGCAGTCTTCAGGACAAATGACCCCCTCTCTTCAACAAATGAATGACATAAGAAAATATTAAAAGAAAGGAGAATTGTTACAGATTTCAATAAAGACTTAAGAAACACACAAGCCAAATGCTAAGTGTGTAGACTTTGAATCCAGATTGAAATAAACCAACCATAAAACACATTTTTGAGACAATTAGGAAAAATTGAATATAATCTGGATATTATGTAATAATAAATTGTTTAATTTTATTGGTATGTTAGGTGACTACAGTAGAAATAAAATATGTGTTTGAAATTTTCCATCATAAAGAATTCCAAGTAATGGAGCTATTTTCCCACACTATAAACTCCTGAACATACAGATGGCATTCTGTTGGCAAAAGCTTCTCATTATACAGCGCTATTATTATGTACTATATTAACACCTTTTCAAAATGAGAAAATTCAGTTAAGTACTAGAATTCCACTTGTCATTGGGTTGTTTGTTTGTTTGTTGTTTTGACAGGCAGAGTGGACAGTGAGAGAGACAGAGAGAAAGGTCTTCCTTCCGTTGGTTCACCCCCCAAATGGCCGCCGCGGCTGGCATGCTGTGCTGATCTGAAGCCAGGAGCCAGGTGCTTCTCCTGGTCTCCCTTGCGGGTGCAGGGCCCAAGGACTTGGGCCATCCTCCACTGCACTCCCGGGCCACAGCAGAGAGCTGGCCTGGAAGAGGAGCAACCGGGACAGAATCCAGCGCCCCGACCGGGACTAGAACCCGGTGTGCCGGTGCCGCAGGCGGAGGATTAGCTTATTGAACTGTGGCGCCGGCCTGTCATTGGTGTTTTTTTATGTCTTAGAATTTGTCTATAAAGAAAGTTTTCTTGCTGGGGCCGGCGCCGTGGCACAGTAGGTTAATCCTCCACCTGTGACACTGGCATCACATATGGACACCGGTTCTAGCCCTGGCTGCTCCTCTTTCAATCCAGCTCTCTGCTGTGGCCTGGGAAATCAGTAGAAGATGGCCCAAGTCCTTGGGTCCCTGCACTCACATGGGAGACCAGGAGGAAGCGCCTGACTCCTGGCTTTGGATTGTCACAGCTCCTGCCGTTGTGGCCATCTGGGGAGTGAACCAACAGAAGGAAGGCCTTCTCTCTGTCTCTCCCCCTCACTTTCTGTAACTCTAACTCTCAAATAAAATCTTTAAAAAAAAGTTTTCTTGTTTATTTCTTATATGATGGGTACCATACAAAAGTATAGTACTTATTTCCAAGTACCTAATACAGTAAACGGTTTACAATAAAAATTTAATAACTATTTAATAACTACTCTCAAATAGTCTACCATCTTCCAGTTTCCTGATGAGAAATATTCAAGAATTGAAGCTGTTGGGGCCAGCGCTGTGGTGTAGTAGGCTGGGCCTCCGCCTGAAGTGCCCACATCCCATATGGGCACCGGTTGGTGTCCCAGATGCTTCTCTTCAATCCTGGGAAAGCAGTGGAAGATCACCCGAGTCCCTGGGCCCCTGCACTCACGTGGGAGACCTGGAAGAGGCTCCTGGCTCCTGTGTTTGGCCTGGCCCAGCCAGGTGTTGCAGTTATTTGGGGAGCAAACCAGTGGATGGAAGATCTCTCCCTGTGTGTATGTCTGTGTGTGTGTGTGTGTCTGTAACTCTGCTTTCAAATAAATGAATAAATCTTAAAAAAAAAAAAAAGATGTCAGCAAATGATAACCTAGTAGGTATCTGCCTAAAATACTATTTCCTCTTAATATTTCCCTGATGAATAATCCACAATAACTATTAGTGTGTTAAATCTAAATTCCTCTGCCTAGTTTTTAAGACCTTCAGAATGTTGCCACATCTGGTTTTTTGTTTTGTTTTGTTTTGTTTTTTTTTAAGATTTGTTTTATTTATTTGAAAGGCAGAGTGACACACAGAAAGGGAGAGATCTTCCATTTGCCGCTTTACTCCCCAGATGGCTGTAATGGTCAAGGCTGGACCAGGCTGAAACCAGGAGTCTGGAACTCCATCCGGGTCTCCCACCTGGGTGGCAAGGGCCAAGCACTTGGACCATCTTCTACTGCTTTCCCAGGCACATTAGCAAGGAGCTGGATTGGAAGTGGAGCAGAGCTGGGACTGGAACCAGTGCTCATATGGGATGCCGGTGCTATAGTCAATGACTTAACTCACCGTGACACAATGCCAGTCCCTGCCACATCTTAACTACCCAAATTTATTTTCCATATTTCACAAACTAGATAAAACCTACTCAGTTTCTCTGTACACATCATGCTGATTGCTACCCTTGAGTCATTGTTAGATTGATCCTTGTTCCTGGCAATCTCCCTTTTTCTCTATCCAAATTCTTTAAAGTTCTTCTACTCAGTGAAGCCTCTCCTAACCACTCCAATGATATCATTCTGTTTTTCCAGACTCCTGGTGATTGTAATCAGTGCCATGCAGATTTTCCCTTAATGTTCCCATGCAGGTATTCATTTTGTCTACTCAATTTAAACCTAAGCGTTAAGTCGTATTCTTTCTTTTTTTATCCTAGCTAACCTAGAACACTGTGTAAAGTATGAAACTTGCTTAGTTAATTCTCATTTGATGATTATCTAATAAAAGTTGTAATAGATAACCTTTAATGAAGGTTTATATTTGACAAGCACTGTGCTAAAAGCTTAGCTATTATCTCAATCTTCACAAAAATGCCCCAAGGGGCTCTATTATCCCCACTGTATAAATGAGGAAAATTGGCAGAGAAACTGTGTGATTTAACCAAGGTTATGTGTTTTGATCATTCTTGGTACACCGGCAATTTAGAGTCCAACTAACCCCAGAACATATGCTTTTAAACCTGTGTGTTATATTACCTATTTACATGTTTGCCTAAACTGATAACATGAATAAAATGTCAAGGACAAATACCACCTGTGGCAATGTTTGCAAAATACCTCTATGTGCACAATAAATGTTAGTCATTGCTGTTATTCAATGTTTAAGAAAGCTAAAGCCCAGGAAATTACTGGACAAGCAATGGCAAGTGAAAGGACTAAGTGGCCAGAAATAATTTTTTTAGAATACCACTATCAACAAGCATAAAATCTATATAGTGGAAAAGCTACACATTTTGAAAGACATATCTGAGTGTCGATTTCACTTCAACAGGTTTCCTTTTTGGTGTTCAGTCAGTTGTCACCGATCAGGGTGAACATATGGTATTTGTCCCTTTGGGACTGGCTTATTTCACTCAGCATGATGTGTTCCAGATTCCTCCATTTTGTTGCAAAGTGAAATCGACACTATGAGAAATGGTGACTTGATCAGCATAGCCCTGACTGTTAATGAACAACTTAATACATTATCCCTCTTAGTAGTTTTTTTTTTTGTCTGTTCTACTTAATATGACTGGTTTAATTCTGTAATTAATACACAGTTATTTTTAACTGTGATGTGATCCCTGTTAAACATAAGAGTGGGGATAAGAGAGGGAAGAGATGTACAATTTGGGACATGCTCAAGCTGACTTGCCCCAAATTGTAGAGTTAGAAACATACCAGGGGACTCCAATTCAATCCCATCAAGGAGGCATGTACCAATGCCATCTCACTAGTCCAAGTGATCAATTTCAGTTCACAATTGATCATAATGAAAGGACTAAGAGTCAAAGGGAGCACATAAACAAGTCTAGTACCTGCTAATACTAACCGATAGAATAAATAAAGGGGAGAGTGATCCAACATGGGAAGTGAGATACTCAGCAGACTCATAGAATGGCAGATGTCCTAAACAGCACTCTGGCCTCAGAATCAGCCCTAAAGGCATTCCGATCTGGCTGAAAAGCCCAAGAGAGTATTTCAGGCATGGAAAGCCAAGACACTCTGGCAAAAAAAAAAAAAAAAAAAAAAAAACAAACAAAAAAAAAAACCCTAAATGAAAGATCTCTGTGAGTGAGATCCCAGTGGAAAGAACAGGTCTTCAAAGAAGGAGGTACCTTTCTCTGAAGGGAGGAGAGAACCTCCACTTTGACTATGACCTTGTCTAAACAAGATAAGAGTCGGAGAACTCAAGGGGCTTCCATAGCCTTGGAAACTCATGACTGGTGCATAGGGAGATTACTGATGCCATAAACAGGAGTGTCAATTTGTAAAGTCAACAACAGGAGTCACTGTGCACTTACTCCTCATGTAGGATCTCTGTCCTTAATGTGCTCTACATTGAGGCTTAATGCTATAACGAGTACTCAAACAGTATATTTCACTTTGTGTTTCTATGGGGGTGCAAACTGTTGAAATCTTTACTTAATGTATACTAAACTGATCTTCTGTTAAAAAAAAAAAAAAGAAATTAGCAATTCCCAACTTGACTCTCGATGGGATTAAACATGACAATAGGTCTGATCTGATTTCATCATCATTTAAAAAATCATCTATTATTTTTCACTTTATGTTTCTGTGTGGGAGCAAACTGTTGAAATCTTTACTTAATGTATGCTAACCTGATCTTCTGTATATAAAGAGAATTGAAAATGAATCTTGATGTGAATGGAAGGGGAGAGGGAGTGGGAGGGGGGAGGGTTGTGGGTGGGAGGGACGTTATGGGGGGGAAGCCATTGTAATCCATAAGCCGTACTTTGGAAATTTATATTCATTAAATAAAAGTTAAAAAAAATGTAAAAAAAAAAAAAAAGAAAGACATATCTGAAATCACCTTGCCTGTGACAAAAGAAAATCCCTAGTTTGGGAAAAATCACAAATAAGCAAATAATGCAAGCTATTACGGGAGCCAGGAGGCTGCTTAAGGTGAAGTATTACAAAGGTGACAAACCATTCCTGCAGTGCACATTACTACACGGCATGTAAAGCCAAAAAATTTTTACCTGATTTGGGACTCCGAAGTTTTATACTCTAAAAGAAAAGAAAAAGAAATGAAAGTGAAAGATGTTTCTTGAAAAGTACACTTCTTATAGCTATAGGATTATGAAGTGCAGAACCTGATTTCTGTAATTAATAAGTGTGCTCAATTATGAAAAGATCCTTAACTTACTGTGATTTTTATATCTCATGGTAAATAGTCCCAAACTGATTCCTTTTGTTTAATTTCTTTCCTACTTAGAACATGTCTCTGAAATTTTAAATTGAGGTAAATTATTGACATGGAAGTTAATTAATGACATTGGAAAAGGGGTGACTGAGCTTTGCTCTGGGAGTTGAGATAAAGATCATGACATGTATGCATTTTATCAACAATAATGACAGCAATCGCTGGTACATTAAAATTAGTGTATATTTTAAAGTTTCAGAATCTTTGCCTATCAGCATTGCAATAGAGGCATTTTTTTTCTTTCTTTTAAAACAATATTTATTTAATTATTGACAGACAGAGAAAAAGACAGATAGAGAGAGAATTATCTTCCTCTGGTTCACTCCTTAAATGCCCACAATAGCCTAGGTTAGGCCAGGTCTCAATCCGGTTCTCCCACAAGAGTGGCAGAAACCCAATCACTTAAACCATCACCACGGTCTCCCAGAATCTGCATCAGCAGTAAGCGAATGCCAGAGCCAGGTTCTGAACCCGCATATCCAGATACGGGATGTGTGTGTGTCTTAATTGTTAAGCTAAATGACTTTTCCTTTGGGCATTCTTCTATTTATTTGTATCCATTTGAAAGGTAGAGAAAGAGAGATCTTCCATCTGCTGGTAGATGCCCACAATGGCCAGGGCTGGGCCAGGTTGTTCAGAACTCAGTCTGTGTCTCCTATGTGTGTGGCAGGGACCAAAGTACAAAGCTGCCTCCCAGGATAAGTGTTAAGCTGGAAGCTGGAATCAGAAGTGGAGCTGGGGCTCTAACTCAGGCACATGTTATGGGATGCGGGCATCCCAAAGCACCACCTTAAATGTTTGCTTAATGATTTCTATTAGGAATGTAGATTTTTGGGGCTGGCGTCCTGTGGCAGCTAAAACCACCACTTGCGATGCTGGCATTTCATGTGGGCACTGGTTCAAGTCCCGGCTGCTCTGCTTCCGATCCAGCTCTCTGCTATGTCCTGGGAAAGCAGCAGAAGATGGCCCAAGTGCTTGGGGCCCCTGTGCCCACGTGGGAGACCTGGAAGAGGCTCCTGGCTACTGGCTTTGGATCAGCTCAGCTCCAGACATTGTGGCCATTTGGGGAGTGAACCAGCAGATGGAACATTTCTCTTTGTTTCTCCCTCTCTCTGTCTCTCTAAACATTACCTTTCAAATAAATAAATAAAATAATTTTTAAAAAATGAAGTATAGATTTTTTTCTTCCAGGAACAGGAAACATTATTCCAAAAAGGTTTATCTTAAATAATATGCAGGCCGGCGCGGGGGCTCACTAGGCAAATCCTCTGCCTGCCGCGCCAGCACCCCAGCGTTCCAGTCCCGGTTGGGGCACCAGATTCTGTCCCGGTTGCTCCTCTTCCAGCCAGCTCTCTGCTGTGGCCTGGGAGTGCAGTGGAGGATGGCCCAAGTGCTTGGGCCCTGCACCCCATGGGAGACTAAGAGAAGCACCTGGCTCCTGGCTTCGGATTGGCTCTGTGCGCCGGCCGTAGTAGTCATTTGGGAAGTGAACCAACGGAAGGAAGACCTTTCTCTCTGTCTCTCTCTCTCACTGTCTAACTCTGCCTGTCAAAAAAAAAAAAAATATATATATATATATGCACATTCATCATTGCAAATATTACTTTCTGTAACACATTTTCACAGCTAACATGAAACAGCCCACCAAGTGACTTGTGTGAAGAAGCTTCTACTTCTGGAACATTCACATTTGCCTTAACAATCCTTCAAGAACCAGCTCAAATATTTCCTCTTTCATTGAGTCTCCTTCCATCACTTCCAACCTACAGGGATTTCCTTTACCTTTCATCTGGCATTAATCATGTCTGCTTTGCTACCATCAATAGACACAAATATAAAGCCATGTGCCACATCCTGTATGTCATCTGTAGGATTTTTAAGGTCATGATTTGCATCTTTGATATCTTTCTTAAATCCCCACAAACACCCTCTTGCACATTGTTTCATATTTAGTATCTACTTAATCATTATCAAGTGATAGGTGTTAAAAATGCAGGGAGTAGAACTCTTCAAATAAATAGGGTCAGAAAAAAGTCCCTGACCTTGCTTGGCCTAAGTCTCACCGACTCATCAAACTGCTCTGATTCAGCCGGTCCACTCCACTCTTGTGAGGTTTCTGGTTTCACTTTCCCAGCTGCAGATGAGGACTCCGGACCGCTGGCTGAGAATTCTCCTGGAAGAAAGAGAATAGAGTCCAATTCCTAGGAGAGGTGCTGCTCTTCTAGAAACCCAGACCCCAGAGGGGACCTGAGAGGCCACCCGGGTGGTCCACACTTTGGCTCACACTGAACTGCACTCACCAGCTTTCTCCACCACAATGAAAGACTCCGGGGTCCGTTCAGGAAGTGGAGGGGGAGTTTCCTCATCCATCCCTGGAGAAGTTGCTGTCCAAATACACAGTAACAATTTGAAATGAGAACAAGCCGAAAGCAATTCTTGTATTCTAACCTAATCTTAATTAAAGAATTATTTATTTATTTAAAAGTTAGAGTTACACAGAGAGAGAAGAAGCAGAGAGAGAGAGAGAGAGAGAGAGAGAGAGGTCTTCCATTTGCTGGTTCATTCCCCAATTGGCTCAACGGCTGGAGCTGCACCAATCCGAAGCCAGGAGCTTCTTCCGGGTTTCCCACACGGCTGCAGGGGCCCAAGGACTTGGGCCATCTTCTACTGCTTCCCCAGGCCACAGCAGAGAGCTGGATCAGAAGAGGAGCAGCCAGGATTCAAACCGGCAACCATATGGGATGCCGGTGCTTCAGGCCAAGGCATTAACCTGCTGCACTACAGCACCGACATCCTAATATTAAATTTAAATTCAACAGAACTTCTATTGAAAGCACCATCCCCTATGTCAAGCTGGTCTTGTCCGTTCAAGGAAAGAGCAAAATTCTCTCATATTAAGGTGCAAACCCAGGATGTTTTTGTTATTCTTCCAAATATATTTTTCTTTTAAAATCCCAAAAATATGTTCAAAAGATCTACTTATCTATTTGACAGTCAGAGTGACAGAGACACACACAGAGAGAGAGAGAGAGAGATCTTCCATTCATTAGTACACTGCCCTAATGCCTTTAACAGCCAGGGCTGGGCCAGGGCGAAGCTGGGGGCCAGGAATTTCATATGGGTCTCCCACATGGGTGGCAGGGGCCCTAGGACTTGGGTTATCTTCCACTGCTTTCCCAGGTACATCAGCAGGGAGCTGGGTTGGAAGCAGAGCAGCCAGGACTTGAAGTGACACACTGATATGGGGTGCCAGCAACACAAGTGGCAGCTCAACATGCTGTGCCACAACACCCGGCCCCCAGAAGTATTGTTTTGAAGATTTTATTTGTGGGGCTGGCGCTATGGCACAGCGGGTTGAAGCCCTGGCCTGAAGCGCTGGTATCCCACATGGGCGCTGGTTCTAGTCCCGCCTGCGGCACTGGCACCCCGGGTTCTAGTCCTGGTCGGGGCGCCGGATTCTGTCCTGGTTGCTCCTCTTCCAGGCCAGCTCTCTGCTGTGGCCCACGAGGGCAGTGGAGGATGGCCCAAGTGCTTGGGCCCTGCACACGCATGGGAGACCAGGAGGAAGCACCAGGCTCCTGGCTTCCGATCAGTGCAGCGCGCTGGCTGTAGCGGCCACTTGGTGGGTGAACCAAAGGAAAAAAAGGAAGACCTTTCTCTCTGTCTCTCTTTCTCTCACTGTCTAACTCTACCTGTCAAAAAAAAATTTATTTGTTTACTTGAAATTCAGTGTTATAGAGAAGCAGAGGCAAAGGCAGAGAGAGAGGTCTTCCATCTGCTAATTCACTCCCCAGATGGCCGCAATAGCCAGAGCTGTGCCGATCCGAAGCCAGAAGCCAGGAGCTTCTTCTGGGTCTCCCACGTGGGTGCAGGGGCCCAAGGACTTGGGCCGTCTTCCACTGCTTTCCCAGGCCACAGCAGAGATCTCGGCCAGAAGTGGGGCAGCAGGGACTCAAACTGGTGCCCATATGGGATGCCGGCACTGCAGACAGCGGCTTTACCTGCTATGCCACAGCGCCGTCCCCTCCAACCAAAAGTATTTTGATTGAGTCACTGGGTATCAGGTAACATAATAAAAAATTATATTAATCTTGGATATTTTGGATTGTTTTCTAAATATACTCTTTCCTTTTGTTTTACATACAGCATATAATAAGGCATAATAAAGCAGGTTGCTATGCCAAAGATTCAGTTACACAGTAAGTGAAATCATAAAGATTTTAGTATCTCTTCTTCATTATTCACAGAATCCAAGAATATGCATTTTTTTCTTTTTACAAAATAGAATAACACGGTTTCCTATATTTCTATAGAAACAGAATTTGTATAGAACATTTTAAATGCTATTATAAGAAATGCCACCAGATGGCACATGCGTCAATGTTGCTGCAATCCCTGGAAGTCAGGATTTTTTTTGTTGTTTGTTTTTTTTTGTTTGTTTGTTTTTGGTGATGTTGATGATCTAAGAAGTCTAAGGTATTGTTAGTATGTAGAAGAAAATTTCTTTACACTGTAAACCAAGATCAAAACATAGGCTAATCAGAAGGAACTTCCTAGATTTAGGTCAAATAACTTTGCAACAAAGCTACAAATACATGTCTTTATTAAGAAAACTAAATGAGGGTAGGGATGAAGGTTTGGCTCTGCAGGTAAGGCACTTCTTGGGACACTCACATCTCATGTCAGAGTGCCTTGATTCGAGTCCTAGCTCTGCTTCCGATTCAGCTACCTGCTAATGAACACCCTGGAAGGCAGCAGGTGAGAGCTCAAGTGATTGGGCCCCCGGTGCCTGTGAGGGAGAACTGGATTGTGTTTCCAGCTCCTGGCTTCGGCCCGGCCCAGCAGGCATTTGGGGAGAGAGTCAGCAAATGGAAGATTTTTGTTTGTGTCTGTGCCTTTCAAAGAAATGAAAATAAATTAATTAATTTCAAAAAAAGAAAAAAAATTAAAAATGAAAACTGCATAATACAAATGTTATAGAGCAAAAAAATTTTTTTTACTTCCTATCTAGGTAGAATGCTCTTTATTTTTTTTTTATTTTTAATTTTTTTGACAGGCAGAGTGGACAGTGAGAGAGAGAGACAGAGAGAAAGGTCTTCCTTTGCCGTTGGTTCACCCTCCAATGGCCGCCGCGCTGCGGCCGGCGCCCCGCTGATCCGATGGCAGGAGCCAGGATCCAGGTGCTTCTCCTGGTCTCCCATGGGGTGCAGGGCCCAAGCACCTGGGCCATCCTCCACTGCACTCCCGGGCCACAGCAGAGAGCTGGCCTGGAAGAGGGGCAACCGGGACAGAATCCGGCGCCCCGATCGGGACTAGAACCTGGTATGCCAGCACCGCAAGGCGGAGGATTAGCCTAGTGAGCCTAGCGCCAGCTAGAATGCTCTTTATAAATTATTTTATGATATGCCCAAGATAGTAAATTTACACTTTGCTTTCCCTTATCTTCTTTTACATCAACTTATTGTAATCTTCTCCAATAGAATATTCACTTCTACTTTCCAACTACTCAGTAAAATAAAATAATATGCATAATTCAGAATTAAATAACAGAAAATATTAAAGTAAATATATATAAGATATGTTATGTACAAAATGCCAAACACATATTTTCATCTGCTGAGTTACTACAAAAGGGTAGGCAATTACGTCCTCTCCCTCCAACTCCCATAGGAATATAACTCAATTCTTAGCAATATGGTGAACTCATTACAGGCAAATGAATGTGCAACATTTCTGGGTGACTAGGTGATGCTGTTTGACGAATTTTTTTCTGCTGTCTTTCTGGAAGCCACTTCTCTATGTTAAGGGTGTAAGTTGTGGCCTTCAACACACATTCCTAGGAATTTGGCTTGCCTTCTTTAGAAGTTCTCTTGGCAAACATTCAAACCAGATCCAACTGCTTCCACTGCTGCCAGTTTAATGGAATATTACATGTTGTTATTATTTGCAACCTATCGCATCATCGAAACACTTCTGGAATTTATTAATTGGAGGATATATGGGGCCGGTGCAGTGGCACAGTGGGTTAACGCCCTGGCCTAAAGCGCCGGCATCCCACGTGGGCGCCAGTTTGAGACCCGGCTGCTCTACTTCTGTTCCAGCTCTCTGCTATAGACTGGAAAAGCAGTAGAAGATGGCCCAAGTCCTTGGGCCCCTGCACCTGCATGGGAGACCCAGAAGAAACTCCTGGCTCCTGGCTTCAGATCAGCGCAGCTCCGGCCATTGTGGCCAATTGGGGGGTGAATCAGCAGATGGAAGACCTCTCTCTCTCTCTCTATGCCTCTCCTCTTTCTGTATAACTCTGACTCTCAAATAAATAAATAAATCTTTTTTAAAAATTCTTTAAAATAATTTGAGGAGATAGAAGAAAAAAGAGAAGGGAGCAGAGGAGGAAAAGGGGAGGGGGTAGGAAGAAACCAAACATTATATAGATACAAAGTGAAATCTAAAATGCTATAAAATAAAACAAATAAAATGCTGTACCAACTCCAAGAAATAACATACCCATTACAGCTGTCGCTTGGTTCAGTGGTGGGGAAAAATTGGTTGGAGGATTCAGCACCAAAGAATCACGTGAATTACAGTCGGAGAAGAGAGTTGAAGAGGATTTGGGCAACAAAGAGCAAGGAAAACCAGTTCCATCTTCCTTCTCAGGTAAATCAAGAGACATCTTAGAACCCGCGCTACTTGGAGGCAATGATGAAAAATAAGGATCTTCTACTAAAGACATGTAGGAATACCCACTGAAAGCAGTAGAGGCGTGCTGACTGACACTGGAGGCGTTGCACATCTGGTGCTTAGAGTCACGTGGTGGTGAGTAATTCAGTTCTGCTGTAGAAGCATGCATCACTTTTGGAGCCTGCATCTCCGTGAGGCAAGCATCGTGCCGTTGAGACTCCAAATAAGAAAACCCTTCCTTAATGTCTGATTCCTTGGTTTCTTTCTGCTGTATTAGTTCAAAGGGAGTTGATTTGGTCCGTACCACCGGTCCCTTTGAATTAAAATATCTTCCTGTTGCATCTACAGGTTTGGAATTAGGACATGCCCCAAAGAAAATGGAGCTGAAGTCCAAACTTTGATGCTTCTGAAGAGGCTCCCCAACTATTGGAAACGCCTTTGTCTGCCGTTTCATGCTTGTGTCAGCATTTCTGTTGTAATCATAATTTAGCTCCAAGAAATCAAAGGAAGCATTCAGTTTCTCAGGGTGCGAAACCAACCTCTCCTTTGCAATGATTTCAGAAGTCCTAAAGTCAAAGGAAGAAGCTTCTGCATTTTCTGCCTTTGCCCTCTGTTTGCTCTGTTGCTTCATCATTCTTGCTTCTTTTATGGTGCTGAAACAAAAGAGTAATGACACCATTCTTCAAAGCCACTTCCCGGCAGCACAATGACAAGTACAAGCATGAGATTCATCTCCCAGCCACAGACACAATTAGTCAACACGCAGATATGAAAGTTATACTCACTTTTTGGGTAAATTTGGGGGATGAGAGCCTGCATGTAGAATGGGATTTTGCTCAGTAATTGAATAGTTTGCTTGAACCTTCAAGAGAAAAAAATCAAAGATTAGTTTTTAGTGAAACAATGTAATGGAGATACTTTAATATTCAAAATGCTGAGAAGTAATTTTTCAGAAAATATAAAGATTTAAACTAATGCATGAAAGATTTCTGAAATATTGAACCCAGAAAGAACTTCTTCATCTACTGAGATGAAAACGATCTAAATAGTTGACGACTAGTGTTCCAGAAACTAGAAAGGATCTGTTTACAGCATCTTTTCCAATGTGGGAATCCTAAAACGTTCTTGGGGGTAACTTCAGTCTCAGGAACATTCTACAAAAAGTGGATGTTTGGTGCAGCCAATGACAAAGCCTCCTGGGACGCTCACGTAACATCTTGTATCGCCTGATTCAAGTCCTGGCTCCATTTTTCATTCCAGTTTCCTGCTAAAGCACATCCCGGGAGGCAGCAGTAATAGAGTTCTCGCCACTCACATGAATTGAATTCCAAGCTCCTGGCTTCAGCCAAGCCCCGTCTAGGCTGTTCTGAGTTTTAGGGGAATGAATCAGTACGTGGAAGATCTCTCTCCCTCCCTCTCCCTCCCTCTCTCCCTCTCCCTCCCTCCCTCTCTCCCTCTCCCTCCCCCCCTCTCCCTCCCTCTCTCTTTCTCTCTCTCTCTCTCCCTCCCTCTCTCTTTCTCTCTCTCTCTCTCCCTCCCTCTCTCTTTCTCTCTCTCTCTCCCCCTCTCCCTCTCTCTCCCTTTGCCTTCCAAATAAATAAAAATAACATAATAATTAAATATATGTAATGAACAATAAATAGATATGTAAAAGAACGTTCTACCTTCCGAAATTTTAGTATCTTAACTTTAAAGGTAACAGTTGCTTATTAGGTCCGGGTACCTATTTCCTCTGGTTCTACTCTCCTCCTCCTCCTCACTGTGGTCCAGGTGTTTTGGTTTTGTCACCACTCTTATAGCAAGCTAAACTTGTTTCCTATTCAAGACTTTTACACTTCTGCTAATACTAAATGATAGAATCAAAAAGGGAGAGAACCGGTCCATCATGGGAAGCAGGATACACAGCAGACTCATAGAATGGCAGATGTCCTAAACAGCACTCTGGCCTCAGAATCAGCCCTTAAGGCATTCGGATATGGCTGAAGAGCCTATGAGAGTATTTTAGGCATGGAAAGCCAAGACACCCTGGGGGAAAAAAAAAAAAAGAAGACCTAAATGAAAGATCTCTGCGAGTGAGATCCCAGTGGAAAGAGCGGGGCCATCAAAGAAGGAGGTACCTTTCTCTGAAGGGAGGAGAGAACTTCCACTTTGACTATGACCCTGTTGGAATAAGATCGAAGTCGGCAAACTCAAAAGGCTTCCATAGCCTTGGCAACTCATGACTAGAGCCTAGGGAGATTACTGACGCCATAAACAAGAGTGTCAAATTGTTAAGTCAACAACAGGAGTCACTGTGTACTTACTTCTCATGTGGGATCTGTCCTTAGTGTGTTGTCCAATGTGAAGTAATGCTATAACTAGTACTGAAACAGTATTTTACACTTTGTGTTTCTGTGTGGGTGCAAACTGATGAAATCTTTGCTTAATATATACTAAATTGATCTTCTGTATATAAAGATAATTGAAAATGAATCTTGATGTGAATGGAATGGGAGAGGGAGCGGGAGATGGTAGGGGTGTGAGTGGGAGGGAAATTATGGGGGGGGGGAAGCCATTGTAATCCATTAACTGTACTTTGGAAATTTATATTTACTAAATAAAAAAATAAAAAAAAGACTTTTACACTTACTGTTCCCTCTGATTGATACATTTTTTTTTAATTTATGTATTTGAAAGCAGAGTTACAGAGAGAGAGAAGGAGAGACAGAGAGTGAGGTCTTCTATCAGCTGATTCACTGTCCAAATGGCCATGACAACCAGGGTTGAGCCAGACCAGAGCCAGGAGTCAGTAGCTCCATCTGGGTCTTGGGCCGTCCTCCACTGCCCTCCCAGGCACACCAGCAGGGAGCTGGATCAGAAGTGGAGTAGCCAAGACTTGAATCAGCACACACAGAGAATGCTGGCATTGCAGGCAGTGACTTAATCCACTCCACCACAATGCCAGCCTCTCTCCACTTTCAATTCAGCTTCCTGCTAATAATATGTGCCCTGTGAGGTGGCAAATGATGGCTAAAGTACTTGGGTTCTTGCCTCCCACCAAGAAGACCCAGATGGAGGTTTAGGTGCCTGGCTTCAACTTGGCCTAGCCCTGGCTGTTGTGGGCATTTGGGGAGTGAATCGGCAGACCAAAGATCTTTCTCTCTCTCTCTCTCTGATTTTCAAATATAATGAAAATTTTAAAAAATATTTAGGGCCGGCGCCGCAGCTCAATAGGCTAATCCTTTGCCTGTGGCGCCGGCATCCTGGGTTCTAGTCCCAGTTGGGGCACCAGATTCTGTCCCGGTTGCCCCTCTTCCAGTCCAGCTCTCTGCTGTGGCCCGGGAAGGCAGTGGAGGATGGCCCAAGTGCTTGGGCCCTGCACCCCATGGGAGACCAGGAGGAAGCACCTGGCTCCTGGCTTCAGATCAGCGCAGTGTGGTGGCCACAGCAGCCACTGAGGGGTGAACCAACAGAAAAGGAAGACCTTTCTCTCCATCTCTCTATCTCACTGTCCACTCTGCCTTTCAAAAAAAATATTTAAAAGCCTACAACAAATTAACTCAATGTGGATCAAAGACTTGAACATAAGAGCTAAAACTATAGAACTCTTAGAATAAAACATAAGGGAAAAGCTTCATGACATTGAATTTGGCAATGATTTCTTGGTTACAACATCAAAGGTACAACAACAAAATAAAAATAGACAAATAGGGGACGCCATTGTGGCACAGTGGGTTAAGGCACCACTTGTTATGCTGGCTCCCATATGGGCACTGGTTTGAGCCCTGGTTGCTCCACTTCCAATCCAGCTCCTTGCCTGGGAAAACAGCAGAAGATGGCCCAAGTACTTGAGTCCCCACCACCCATGTGAGAGACACAGATGAAGCTCCAGAGCTCCTGGCTCTGGCCCAGCCCTGGCTGTTGCAGCCATCTGGGGAGTGAACCAGCAGATGGAAGATATTCTCTCTCTCTCTCTCTCTCTCTCTCTCTTTCTCTGTCTCCCTCTCTCTTTCTCTGTCTCCCTCTCTCTTTCTCTGTCTTTCCTTTCTCTCTCTGCCTTTCAAATAAATAAATAAATCCTTAAAAAATAAATTGAACTTAATCAAAATTACAAAATTCCACACATCAAAGACATGATCAGTCAATCAAAAAGACAACCCACAGAATGGGAGACAACATTTGCAAATCACATATCTGATGAGGCATTAATACCCAAAGTGTATGGAGAACTCCTAAATATCTACAAACATAAATAAACAATCCAACTCAAAAGTGGACAAAGGACTTGAGACATTTTCCCAAAGAAGATATACAATTGCCTAATAAGCACACAAGAAGATGCTTAACATCATTGAATTGTTGAATCAAAACCACAATGAGGAGTGGGTATTTTGCACAGTGGTTAGGATGCCACTTGGGACATCTGTATCCTATATTGGAGCCTGAGTTCAAGTCCTGGCTCTGCTTTTGATTCCAGCTTACTGCTAATGCACATCTTTGGGAGTAGCAGGTAATGGCTCAAGTACTTGGGTCCCTGCCACCTATATAGGAGATCCTTATTGGGTTCTAAGCTACTGGCTTCAACCTGGCCTAGCCCTGGCTATTGTGGGCAGTTTGGGAATGAACTAGCAAATGAAATATTTCTCTCTCTCTCTCTTCCAAATAAATAAATTTTTAGAAATCACAATAAGATACCACTTCACACTCATTTGGATAACTATCATCTAAAACAAAACAAAAAGAGGGTTGGGTACAAGTTCCTGTCCTGGCTGTGCCACTTCCAATCCAGCTCTCTGCTAATGGCCTGGGAAAAGTTGTAGAAGATGGCCCAAGTGCTTGGGTTCCCGCACTTATGCGGGAGACCTGGAAGAAGCTCCTAGCTCCAGGCTTCAGTGCTGGCTGTTGTGGCCATCTGGAGAATGAACCAGTGGATAGAAGATTCTCTCTCTCTCTCTCTCTCTGTCTCTCTCTCTCTCTCTCTAACTCTGAATTTCAAGTAAATAAATAAATCTTAGAAAAAATAAGTGTTTGCAAGGATGTAGAAATTGGAAACTCTGTACTGTTGGTGGGAATATTCAATTATACAACTTCTATGGAAAACAATATGGGGATTCCTCAGAAAATTAAACGGAAATGCCACATGATCAGCAATTCCACTTCTGGGTAAACACCAAAGAGTGAAAAACAGAGACACGGGCCAGACTGTGGTGCAGCTGGTTAAGCCGCCACTTGCAGCACCTGGGAAAGCAGCAGATGATGCCGCCAAGGGCTTGGGCCCCTGCCACACGTGGGAGACCCAGATGGAGTTCCTGGCTCCTAGCTTTGATCTGGCCCAGCCTCAGGCTGTTGTGGCCATTTGGGGAGTGAACTTAAGGATGTAAGCTCTCTATCTCCATTTCTCCTGCTTTCTCTCTCTGTCACCCTGACTTTCAAACAAATAAATAATTGCATCTTCTAAAAAACATAAATAAAATCCTTTTAACAAAAAGAAATCAGGGATGTGAGGAAAATTTACACATCTGTGTTCACAGCAGCATTACTCAGAACAGCCAAAAGGTGGGAGCAGCCCAACGACCCACCAATGGATGGGCAGATGCACAAAATGGGGGACACAATGGAATATTAGTCAGCCTTCAAAATAAGGAAATTCTGACCAAAATCATGACATGACTGAAGCTTGAGAACATCAGAGTAAATGAAACAAGTCAGACACGAGCGGACAAGCATTGTGCGATTCCATTCAGGGGGGCTACCTAGAGTCTTCACATTTATGGAGATAGAAAGTAGAAAGGTGGTTTTCCAGGTGCAGGTTAGGACTGCTTGTCTGCTGGTGGACTGACACTTCCATCACTGTGTAATGTCTTTCCTTGTTTCTGATCGTTG